TGATGGATTTTATGGGGTCTTTAGATAAAAGTTCACTGGATGAATGTCAAAACAAGTTGTCACTATATTTTGTCTAATATGATTATCTCCTATAATCATCAGCTTAGTCTTGTGTCCATAATGTGGTGTAATGTAATGGAATACTTTAATCAGAAAAATACTGCATTATGGCCACAAGATAAGTCAACAATCATAGGAAATAAACAAGGGATACAGGGATAATTCATTACGGCTAAGAAACAATTATTGTAACATTCAACCGACTAGTTTAGTTTCTCCTTCATTTCATCAGTAAATCTGCTTGGTAGTAGTAGTACTTATATATATATATATTTTTCTAGTAATTGTCATTTTTGCCTTTTGTAGTATGAGTTACCGCTTGAATGTTATGTGATCCTGAAAAAAATTCATCTTTGTGACATCTCAGTGCACAAAGCAGCAGTCTCTGACGTCACAATGCACTCAGGAGTAAACGGCGAGTATAGGAAGTGTGCAGAGCACACACAGAGGATTAATCAACTTTTAAAGAGGTTTTATCTCACCCAAAGCGCTACAACGCCTCCAAGCTGCAGGATCAAAACCTAAAAAGATCTGAGGAAAAAAAGTTTGTTTTTGTTAGACACAAATCTTGTGGAGCCACCAAACAGCCACAATCCTGCCAGCCAGTGCCTCACAATATCCATACATATGTAGAAGACAATTGCATAATATAAAACAACACTCAGATATCAAACACACAATTGATATCACCATTTATTAAAGACATGAACATAGGCATTTCTGATTATACAGTTTATGACAAGTATTGTGCAAAAGTAGTATACTGTCACTAGATTAGATGGTAAAGTACTGCAATCTAGAAATAATTTACAGTATGCCTTTTACAGTAAGAGGTAGAATCTCAATTATGGCTGTATACAAATGCATTGAGCCTTAAGTTATAAATTAAGGCCATTTTTTGTTCAATTCTAAAAAGGCAGTAATTATATATTCAGCCCATACATTGTCAGAAAAATCTGCAGTGTAAGGCACTGACAAAGTAGGGTAAATATAAACAAATATACAAACTGCAGAGGTAGTTGAATGATGTTTCATTATCCTTATTAGAATTACCATAGAAAAAAAAGCAGTGACAACATTACAGATTTTTTCCTGATACCATTTAAGGCTGCTAGAAAAATGATTTCTTTACATTTTGCAATAGAGTTGTAGTTCTATGCTTTCTAAATCATTGTCCTAATTAAATTAGGAGTACCATCTCTTTAATGTGGTGCACCGCACCAGCCTACCGGAATTATTTTATCCTCACCTGCTTCATCAAATTGGAACGAAGAGAGAGACAGACACAATTAGACTAAAAAACAGAGGTTCCAGCAGCATACATTTGCAAATTCATATAAAGTCACACTGCTGTGTCATTATACTTTGCAAAGTGTGGTCCATAACTCTAGTCTAACAAAGATCATCAGTATGAATGAATAAAGTCAGAGCTGGCTTACCAAGTGATAGCTCAATCCTCCTTAAAAAGGTGCAGCAACACCAGAAGCGCAAATTCAATAAAACTAAAGAACTTGAAAAGTATTTTCTGCCATGGTTATTGAAGATTTGTTTCTTTTCTAGCAGTTTTTTCTCTTGTCACAACATTGGGGCTCATCAATGACTATACCAGGAATATCTTAACTTGTCAAAAAGAAAGAAGAGAGGATGTGCAAGAATAAAGTTTGCAAAAAAAAAAAAAGTTTACGTGTATAACCAAGATGATACTTTTATTTTTTCTTTATTCTTACTCAGCAAAATCAGAGCGGAATTAAAAAAAAAAAAAAAAAAAAAAAAAAAGTCTGTGGCTTTCTTTTTTGCCTCCTTGCTATGAGTGGTAGGCAACTCCAGATATCTGCAAACCCCAGTTGTTTACTATATAGCATCTTGCATCCCCAAAATCTTCGATACAAGTACCAACCAGATTCCTAGAGCCGACCCTCCTCCTACCTCTGGAAACTTTGCTCCTTGGTTAGTGTAATGTGCCAACAGTAAGTTGCATGAAAGTCAAAGCCAGTGACTGAGAAACTGGTGAGTACTAGCACCAATTTTTGAGGGGTGCAGGTAGCACCATATGGGGATTAAATGCAGCACGCAGGCATCCGAAGGCGTCTATTATCCATACCAAATAAAGTTTGAAAGACAATTATTTTGCAAAAGTACACCTTATTTCTTAAGATGTTTTAATTATATTAGGAGTATGAAAAAAATCAAATAAGTTGGATTTCTGAAGGTTTAACACAAGATGTTTAAACACTTCCTACTCCTCAGCAATGATTTTACCAAATGTGGGGTGTTATGCAATTTAAAGCAATATTTTTGATTCTAAAATAAACCTTATACAGCAACATTAAATGAGAATATAATTAGAAGTATGTTGTATAGAGATTATGCACGGCCCATAGGCAGCAGAAAACTAACCTATTTTGGCAGTGGCTAAGTCTCACATCTCTATACCCTCCTTATCTCTGACCACTCAAACAACATTTAATTCTAATAGGAATGAGAAGCAAAATAAAGAATGGAAATCGGTCTGTAAAATCACACTAAAAAGCAAGGCTCTGATATGGAAAGGTAATACTTAAAATAAATAAAATTTATAGACATGGCACTTACATTTTTATTTGGGTATTGTTTTGGCAGTGAAACATTCTGAACAATGCCAGGTTACTTGGACAACCCAAGTGGGCAGAGGAGAGAAAACATACGTTAAAACTAGTAGTTGATTGTATTAAATGTAATCAGGTCAGTGTCCATGATTTCAGTCAAGTATCTGTGTGAAAACTGCCAGCCTCAGTCTATTTGCAACCAGTTAAGATTAAGACCTTGTGGCTGTACAGGCTAGAGGGGAACATCCATACCCTCAGATTTTTTCCACAAAACCAAAAAAAAAAAAAGTGTACTGTGTCAGATATCATTATGTAGCATAACTACATAATAGTTAGTAGAGCTAGTACAGTTCTTTATGTGTAAATCATTTGTAAGTCCTCTACTGTAGTAATGAGAGAGAGGAAACGGAAGGGCCTAGGATTGACAGCAATAAATTATTCCAGAACAATATTCTTTAAAAAAACAAAAAAAAAAAAAAAAAAAAAACTTTTAAATGCTCAAGTCATGATCCCTTTTGACTTTGTAGATTTTAACCTGCAAAGTTTTTATTGTTTTGCTCTATGCGTATAACAGTAAAATTATATCTGTACTTGCTTTAGTAGACCATGAAAAGCAAAGAAACCATTTCATTACAGTGGCAATGTCACACCAAAAAGGTAATCACCTGCCTTTAGGAGTTTTAGAACTAGGCAAATGATAACTTGTCCAGTTTCAAAATCTCAAGGCACTGAAAATTGACACAGTGTATTAATAAAGTAGTCAGATTCCCCTTACTTTTATCAATTTTGCTATGTTGCAGCCTAAAACTACAGTTTAAATTCATTTATTTTCCTCAATCTACAATCAGTACCCCAAACTAACAAAGTGAACACAGAATTTTAAAAATGTCTGAATTTATTAAAGGGAAAAAAAACTAAAATATCACATGTACTTATGTATTCAGACCCTGTACTCCGTACTTTTGTTGAACCACAAGCTTTGGACACCTGGACTGGGGTATTTTCTGCCATCCTTCTTTGCAAATCCTCTCAAGCTTAGTCAGCTTGGATGGGGACAGTCAGTGGACAGCCATTTTCAGGTCTCTCCAGAGATGTTCAATAGGGTTTAAGTCAGGGCTCGGGCTGGGCCCACTCTAGGACATTCACAGATTTGTACCAAAGTCCCTCCTGTGTTGTCTTGGCTGGGTTCTTAGGATCGTTGTCATGTTGGAAGGTGAACCTTCGGCCCAGTCTGAAGTCCTGAGCGCTGTGGAAAAGGTTTTCATGAGGATATCGCAGTACTTCGCTCCATCCATTCCCCCAACCCTGACCAGTCTCCCAGTACCTGCTGTCGAAAAGCACCCCCACGGGGTGATGCTGCCACCACCATGCAGTGAAATCTGAGAGTCCTTCAGGTACTTTTTGGCACACCACAAACAGGCTTTCATTTTGCACCAAGCAGAGGCTTCCATCTAGCCACTCTGCCACAAAGCCCAGATTGGTAGAAAGCTGCAGTGATGGTTGTCCTTCTGGAACTTTGTCCCATCTCCAAACAGGATCTCTGGAGCTCAGTCAGAGCTTTATTAAGGCTCTTTTCCCGATTGCTCACTTTGGCTGGTCGACCAGCTATTGGAAGAGTCCTGGCTGTGCTAAACTTCTTCCATTTGAGAATTATGGAGGCCACTATGCTCTTGCAAACCTTCAGTGAAGCAGAATTTTTGCTCTGATACAGTATGCATTTAGTTTTGGGCCTTTCCAAATCATGTCCAATCAATTTAATTTACCACAGGTGGACTCCAGTAAAGGTGTTGAGACATCTCCGCAACGATCAAGAGAAATGGGAGGCACCTGAGCTAAAATTATTTAAAGGGTCTGAATACTTATGCCAATGTGAGATTTCATTTTTTCCTCTTTCATACATTTACAAACCTTGTAGTGTCAGGATGAAACATAAAATTTTAAAAAATGAAGGTGGTCTGAATGCTTTATGAATGTACTGTATACTAGCTCTGTATCTAGATGTGTAGTTTTTCTCCTATATCTAGGTATTAAAAAGCTGTATAAAAAGTAGTTTAATGAGAAACTAAAAACACCTGATTTAAAAATTACGCAATCATATCAATACACCAGATCTGTATTGAAAAAAATCTCTTAAAATTTCTCCTAATTGGTCTCTCCCTTTACCTTAAAGATAGTACAGTTAATTGGTACTTTTTGGCAGTGGTAGGAAATAAGGTTTTTTAATTTTGCAAAGAGGACTAAACAATCCACAGTAGAACCAAAACAGATTTTCAATGTTATAAAAGCACTTTATGATTCTCATGTTTTTCCCTCTTTACTAAGTCTGCTGAACTTTCCATACAAAGACTTTTCTTGTCAGTGTTTTTGATGGCAAGTGATATGGTCTTCTGATTGCTCCAGCATGTCCAAGATAATATTTAAAATGGTCTGTAAAGCACGGCCCAGTTGTGAAGCTGTATACGGCTTTCCTAGAGGAGGCACATGGATGAACACAGATTTGCCCTGGCTCTCGTACAAAGAGGTATAATAGGTGAAGTCACACAGGTATCTACAAGAAAGAAACAACCAATTACAAATACAGCACAACTATCTTGCTGGCTAGATCTTTACCAACCATATCTGGACCTTTTGCACACAGTATTTTATGGCACGGAGTAATGAGATTATCTTAAAATACAGCAGTGTCTTTTGAAAAAGACAACCAAGGCTTTTCGGTGTCTTTAAGTCTATTTCTACTTTTGCAGCCTAATTGGGGTAATACCTACTTCGTATGTGTTACATGTTCCCATTCACATAACATAACCGAAAAAAAAAAATTAAATTAAAAATGTCTGCTTATCTTTTTACAAATTTGAAAATCCTATCTAGCTTTCCCCTTTTATGTAATATTAAGGAGAGGGCTGAGTAGATAGGTTTATCATTATTAAGTCTGTACTGTGCTGGCAGGTCTCATTACCTGTTAAAAACTAGATTTGTCCTAAGAATTAACAACCCCAAGGCTTGAGTAGTACATTGCATATAAATGCTTTTGTCCCTCATTCTGTCGCCTAATTACACATTGCAAGTTACTATAAACTCAAGAAGATGCCTAGAGAGTCTTATGTATAAAACATCAAGGAATGTGTGAAAAGATATAGTCCGCACTTACAAAGATATTTTAAAATAGCAAGGACACATATTGTATGTTTGTACCCTTAGAAAAGTTTTATAAATTGGATCATAGGGATTTTCTGCAAGTAGCATCACACGTCTCCAATCTTGTAATCGATCAGCCTATTTAAATGGTGAAAAGTAGCCACTCTGCTGTCTGGTATTATTATGTGCAAAATACTGAACAGAGATCAAAGAAAGCATAGGAGAGAGTTTTGGGAAGAAATTAGAATGAAAACTTTAACCTTGTCAAAGGTAATGGCTATAAGACCATCTCCAAGCAGCTTTATGTTCCTGTGTCTACAGTTGCAAATATTAATAAGTTTATAGTCCATGGGAGTGTAGGTAACCACCCTGGATATGGTTGCAGGAAGAAAAATCAACCCCAAAGAAAAATAGTTTGAATGGTAGGCAAAGAGCCAAGAAATCTTCCAAAGAGATACAAGTTGAAGTCCAAGGTAAATTAGTGTTCACACCATATACAATATTCCCATCTCACACATTCCTGGAAAAGCCAAGGTGTAAGTGGGTGCTGTAGCAACTGCCAGCTGCAGATTGGTACCATAGGCCAAAGTATACATCACTGAAATAAAGTCCAAGTGCTTACTCAGTGATCACATCACAGTGGGAAAAAAGTGCAAAGTTTCAGGGCCACTCAGGGCCCCCTTGTCAGACATGTGCCCCTAAAACAGTGCATTTTCCACTGTGATGCGATTTCTGAATAAACACTAAGACTTTATTCCAGTAATCCTTGGTGTACTAGATATATGTACTTTGACTTTTGATGACACCATCTGTCCCTTTTTTAGTGGGCTCAAAGGAAGAACAACAAGAAGGACTTCAATGTTAAAAGAAAAACAGAGCTCGGTTGAAAATGTTTAAAATGTACATTGACGTGCCTCAGTACTTCCGGGAGTATGACCTTTCAATAGATGGAACAAAGCTGGAGCTTTTTGGCAAGTCAAATCACAATGAAAAAAAAAAGGAAGGTTTCAAAGAATATTCCACTGCACCTACAGGGTAGTTAAAATTTAGCAAAACCTGTAAAAAAGAAAAAAAACATTTTGCATGTCTTGATGTATTAACCAGACTGTATGCACAATAATTTCAGTATTTTAATTCTTTTTTTTTTTTTAAACACATTTTAGTTTTAGATGCTACAGCAGATTGTTTCACATTGCACTTTACGTCACATTTAAAAACGTTTTAGCACTGCATCAATTTTTGTTCTCTTTTTATATAGGAGTTATTCATATATGGTGTTGGCAAAAAGCACAAAAGGCATAGGAATAGGCAAAGATTAAAAGATAAAAAAGCTGCATACTAAGTGATTACATCACCTACTGAGTTTATTAAAAAAAAAAAAAAGGAGAGTTTAATATCACTTTACCTGCAGCAGAGAAAAGCCAGGTCACCAGACTGGTCATGTGGTGTTAAGAATGTATGCATATCTTAAGGCTGGATGGACAGAAATACAAATCCTCTGGCCAACAAGACAGCTCCCATATATTCCTGTCAATTGTGTATTTAGCAGTCTATATAACAGTATTGCTGCGTCTCCTTTGTCCCAATGTTCATTTAGAGAAAATTTTAAAATAAAATGTCAGACTTTACTGGTATGAGGGAACACACCATTTGTAGCGATAAAATATTTGTTTTTTATTACATTTGTAAAAGATCAAAACGAACAAAAATTAATTAAAGAACAATCTGAGGTCATCATTTAAATTTATAGATAATTTATTCAATTCATATACAATTCTTCCATTGCAGTAATCCAAAGAGGTCAGCGCGTTTTGCACACGTGCTTCCTCAGGACCTTCGATTAGGATTTACAGGCGATGACCCAACTATAAAAACATACATTGAGATGTATCCTTATAGACAATATAATCTTACACAAAGTGAAAAAACAAACAGCTGAGAAAAATGGATAAAATGGTGCACTCACACGCTATCACAAGGTATCCCTAAACCTGGGAAACCAAGGGACAGAGCTGGCAGCAGATAGGCAAGCTACTGTCACATCCAGAAATAGATTTTACCAATATACCATCCTCAATTTTTGGGCTTCTCTAAAAAATAATAAAAAAAATAAAAATTATATATATATATATATATATATATATATATATATATATATATTTATATTTGTTGTGTTTTTTTTTAATTCGCTCTGCAGGACTTTTCGGACCAAAAAATGAAATAAACTGAAACGCCATTTCCCATAGGAATGCATTGAAAACAAATTAATGTGTTGCGGAGGTCAGAAAAAAAGTAAAAGCTACTAAAATACCGCATGAGTTATTTTATCAAGTCATGCGGTATTTTAGTAGCGAAAACCATGTGTAATGTTTCAGCTGTTAGCAGGGTTCCCCACTGACAGCTGAATGTAAAAAAATTGCCGGCAATTAAAAAAAACATTTTAAAAAATGGCGTGGGGTCCCCCCTCCCATCCATACCAAGCCCTCGGGTCCGGTATGGATTTTGAGAGGGAACTCCCACACCAACATTTTAAAAAAATGGCGTGGGAGTTCCCTCTCCAAAACGTTGCTTCTTCACTTCTGATGACGCGGTTATGCCGTACGCTGAGCTCCACCTGAATCCACCACAGTACACAGCAGTTTTTCGGTCCCATCTTCTGACAGCCGGCCTCTGGACCTAGGAACTGGACGCCAATCATCTGCAGCACATACAGATACCTTTCCAATGGACTACAGATGTATCTTAATCGATCTTTTAAAATGTGAGTGTTCATTTACACCATTATTTAAAATTCAATATTAACGGTCTGCACTCAGTGGCACCTTCTTTCATTCCTTTTTTACATAAGAAATGATCTATAAATTTGAGTGATGACCTCAGATTGTTCTTAATTTTTGTTTGGTTTGATCTTTTAGAAATAGAAGATCTTTTAGAAATAATAAAAACAAATGTTTAATTGATACAAATGGTGTGCTCCCTGGTACCAGTAAAGTCCAACATTTATTTTGTACTTTTCTTTATATGTGTATTTAGCAGATTGCCTGAAAACAGCTTTAAACAACTAAACCCATGAGTACTAAAAACAAAAAAGTGTTTTAAATGTTGTAGTTAACTGGACCCCATACCTGCCCGCATCTGAAGACACTGTAAAGTGGACATCCATTCCAGCTTCTGTTGCTTTCTTGCAAACAGTATCTATGTCTATAACAGAGTGTAAGCATTCTGGTCCTCCGTCCACACAACACTCTGTATCTGGACAAAACTGGCGAACATCCAGGCCATGGTATCCATTGTTGTGTCCACATTTCTCTAATGTCACCATTGTAGCCATACCAGAAACTCCAACATGAACAATGAGCTGGAGGCACATAAAATAGAGAAAAAGGTTGTTAGCTGGATTCTGCATCGTAGTCATGCATTACTATGGACAAACTGATAACACTGTATAAAACCCCAATAAAAAGTTAGAGCTGTTCTAAGTAGTTTCATATTTGGAGCCATAGGGATGCCTTTGACCTTTACCATCAGGTAGGCTACAGGTCATGGACCTCCTTTAGAACTGGACCAGGTTTAGGCTGAAAATTTTAATTCTGTAATCATCTGATCAGAAAGCAAAGATAAAAAAATGAATCTTTGAAATATGTGTGAATGTTTTATTATGCACCATATCAGAAGGTTTAATCCATTCCTGACCACAATTGTTGGATACATGTTTTCCTGTATGATGTCCCATGCAGAGTCTACCTCTGCCCTATGACAGGTAGCAGCCAATTATGTGCTTGTCCACAGCTTGTCCGAGTCAGCATAGTGATCACATGCAGGCTTGAGGCTTTATTCATAAAACAAGCCATATGCCTGCAGAGTTTTTATTAAAGCATCGTACCAAAAAGCAAAATATATAAAATTATTTAGTTATGTAAATTAACATGGCTATAGCCAAGTTAATGGGCACTGCTACATTTAGCCTGGACATCCAGGATTCAATGATCTTTGGTAAAAAAAATTGTCCGTTTGAATCTGTATTATTTGTTTCAGGGCTCATTCACATCTCTCAGTTGGGGTACACTGCAGTACTGTGCACACTAAATGTGTTAGAACGTTACAGTTTCATTCATTTTCAGGGCAAAGCACGTCTGACTTACATTCAATACACCACAGCACATGGTAAAGCTCTATTATACGCTGTGATGCACTGCATGTACACATGGGAGGGCGGGTGTAGGGTGATAGTTCATCTTTTAATTTTTTTCTGAAAAGATAAATTTACACTTTAAACATCAATAAATCGATTACATGCATCATATCACCTCTCGCTCTCCATGGGCACCTTTCCCTGCCCACTCACACATGCACTGAACATGCACCCCATCCTCAAAAAACCCTCGCTGGAACCCACCTGTTTGAATAACTTAAGACCCATCTCCCTGCTCCCGTTTGCCTCCAAGCTTCTCGAGCGCCTTGTTCACAACTGTATGATCTGCTACCTCACCGACAACAACCTTCTTGATCCCCGACAGTCTGGCTTCCGCCCACAACATTCCACAGAAATTGCCCTACTAAAACTCACTAATGACCTACTAACTGCTAAAACCAACGGCCATTACTCCATACTCCTTGACCTTTCCGCTGCCTTTGACACAGTCGACCACCTGCTCCTCCTCAGTAAACTCCACTCCATCGGCCTCCGTGACTCTGCTCTCTCCTGATTCTCCTCTTACCTTTCTCAGCGCACTTTCAGTGTCAAATACAACTCCTCCTCCTCCGCTCCGCCTCCTCTTTCTGTTGGGGTACCCCAAGGTTCTGTTCTTGGGCCCCTCCTTTTCTCACTCTATACCTCCTCCCTGGGCCAGCTGATAACCTCCCCATGGCTTCCAATACCACCTCTATGCTGATGACACTCAGATCTATCTCTCCATTCCCCAGCTCACCCTCTCAATCTTTCAAAAACTGAGCTTGTAATATTTCCTCCTCCCTGGTCCCCCACTCACGACTTTACCATTAACATCAACAGCACAGCCATTGGTCCTTCCCCTCATGCCAGGGTGCTAGGGGTAATCCTAGACTCTGACCTCTCTTTTGGGTCCCACATCCACTCACTGGCTAAATCCTGCCGCCTCAACCTCCAGAACATTTCCAAAATCCGCCCCTTCCTGACCAATGACACCACAAAACAACTTTTCCACGCCTTGGTTATATCCCGCCGTGATTACTGCAACTACCTCCTCACTGGTCTACCGTTACACAGGATATCCCCCCTTCAGTCTATTATGAATGCTGCTGCTAGACTCATACACCTTACCAACCGATCAGCGACTGCTGCCCCTCTCTGCCAATCCCTCCACTGGCTTCCACTAACCCAACGTATAAAATTCAAAAATACTAACCACAGCTTACAAAGCCATCCACAACACTGCCCCTAGCTACATCACCAACCTCATCTATAGATACCACCCAAAATCGCCCACTCCACTCCTCCCATGATATCCTCCTCTCTAGCTCCCTCATCACCTCCTGCCACGCTCGCCTCCAGGACTTCTCCAGAGCCACTCCCTACCACAGCATGTCCGGTCAGCCCCAACCCTGTCTGCCTTTAGGCGATCTTTGAAAACTAATAAAAAAGGAAATATCCTCCTGCGCTTAATATGGATGTGTCCCTATCTTACAGCTGCTATCACTCTGCCTCAACCAATAGGTCATAAATACCACATACTAAATAGTGAAGCGCTAAAAAATACCTAAAACAATTCCCTATATGTACATCATAAGTACCATCTGAACCTATAATAATAAATACCATAAAGTGATAAAAAAATATATATAATAGGTCTATTGGTGAGAAACTAAAATACATAAATATCTCATACATAAACTAACCATTAACACCTCATAATTAATCCGTGATGGAAAATAACAAATTATATATTCTTAATTAATCCTCAAATAAATCAGTGATATGAAATCAATAATCATAATTATGCTAATTCATAATAAATAAAAAGTGTAACTATCCGTGATGAATTGTGACAAGCCTATGGATTTAAATAAACTGATTCTTCATCAAATAAATACGCGATTCATAAATTCTGTGGTAAAACTATATATCAGAGAAAAAATAAAATCCACTTAATTATGTGATAAATAGAAAAACACTGGGTCCAATCTTATACCCCCGAGTATCAATGTATTCGTTAATGACAAAATGGCAGTCTAGCAGTTTCTTAGTATATTTTTTTAAAGTAAACAGTGGGCTCATTTTTTTACCCCTTTATACACTGATGAACAAGGGCATTATTTTTTAAACTGCTGCAAGTAGCTGCTTGGGCACATCAGGAGTTGCAGTTGAAGTCATGGGTTAGCTATCATGGAATCCTACACCCCACAAAAATGTGAAATGTTGCTGGCCCTGGACACTGTCTTTACCTCTACGGATCAGTGTTTTGGGACTTTTCCACTATCTTCCCAGCAGGCAGGTTAGTATTAGGCAGCTGCAACAGAACATATTGGGCTACTTACAGTTCTGGCATGCCAATACATAGTTAAAAATAAACTGCTAATGAGTGATATGTATGGACAATCCAATCGTAAACGCCTACGTATGCCTACGCATATACGATCTCAGTCCCCATAGCTGAATGCTGGTAAGGCAGCCATGTAAGCTCTCTATATACCTAAACACCCCATACACCAGTATATAAATGCACTAATAAACAGAAATGGGGTAAATAATAAATATAACTATTTTACAAACTGGTACTGGTGTGAAGTAAGTTGTGTAGATCACTACTGTAGATCTCTACATCAAAAGACAGCCTGCAGTTCTGTTGCGAAGGTCGAATAAAAGATATATATTGATTTTTTTAACAGTACCATAACAAGTATCAGGTTCAGAGTGATAGTGAGCACGAATAGAATATCTACAGGCTGAAATAACAGCCCATAACATGTGGTGCAAGGCAAGTATCACGTGAATGACCTGACTGCCTCTGCAGCAACCTTGCCTAGTTTATACAGTTGTATGGAACATAAACACTGCTAAATAGTATAATATAATGAACACATTCAAAAGGACTCATATATTGCGAGTCTCATGTATTGTGCTATAGCATAAAGAACAACCCCCCTGTATGAAGGACTACATAAATAAATTACTTACTGTATAATGATGAAAAACGCTACATGAGTTATATGCTTTAAAGAGCAAGGTGAAATAATTTCTCCAATGGTAGATGACTGGAAAAATTGTCCTATAAACCTGCCAGTTTCAGGACCAGGGGGTGCATCTGGTAATGCCTGAATGTAAGAGATTTGATTTTCTGCTGGATGAAGCCTCAGGAGCTACACCTCCTGGGCCATCCATGTACATATAAAAAGGACAAATACAGACTGAATATAATCAAAGCGATACATGTATAAAAAACTGACTTCAATGTAATTCATATTAAAATAAGTGAAGATACAGTATTCTGTATAAAGCACAAATCATGCAGAACCTTCTGCAACAAAGCCTATTACAAATGTCACATTCTAGAGTAACAGGTTGTGATTATTATTACAATGATGTGATTACTATATTATAAAGTAATAATTTGTGAATTACATATATATATATAGTTGTGCTCTGCACAGAAACTATATATATATATATATATATATATATATATATATATATATATATATATATATATATATATATATATATATAGTTGTGTTTGCATACCCTGGCAGAAATTGTGAAATTTTGGCATTGATATTGAAAATATGACTGATCATGCCAAAAAACAAACACTCTTTTATTGGAGGATGATGATCATATGAAGCCATTTATTATCAAATAGTTGTTTGGCTCCTTTTTTAAATCATAATGATAACAGAAATCACCCAAATGGCAAAGCACACAGTGATGAATAGACTATTAAGAAGATGGTTTGTAAAAGCATTTGTACTGCAGACTGCTGTGTAGTCCTGGGCACAACCTGTTTTTTTCCCACCACCTGTGCCATACGAATCACAAAAAGTACTTATGTCACATTCAAGTTAGTAATATCATAAACTTGCACCTTTAAAGGGTTACCTTAGGCTATTTTTTACTAAAATAATCCTGTTATACTTAGATGCTCTGTGCAATAGTACCGCCTCCTCTTCAGTGTCTGCCCAAATAACAAGCAAATGCTCTGGGGCCGGACATACAGGCTCACTCCCAAGCCGGGCTCTGTGCATCTATAGACAAACGGTGCAGCTTGGCCCTACCTCAGGCTCCTTCCTTACTGAATTTGACAACAGGAGCCAATGGCTACCACTGCTGCTCTATGTCCAATGATGCTCTTGGGCACAGAGCTGGATCGAGATTGGGCTTAGGTAACTCTTCCAGGAGTCTGGGAGCTGGCAAAGCATGGCAGTGGATTTCTGTGTATGTGCACAAATGCCACCAGCTTCTAGTGGATGGGCCCAGGAGGCAGCAGGACCCAGCCTAGGCCAGAGATCGGAAAGAAAAAAAAAAGAAGGTAAAAAAAATGCAATAAACATTTTTAACATTTGTGAAGAAGGGGAAGGACGACAGATTAAGACATTGCAAGTTTAGTTCTTCTAAACGTTCTTTATGTGGTGACACTCTTACCACCTCTCTGTAACTGATATTAGGTGCCTAAGTCCATAACCATATAAGAATGGTACCACTGCAGAACAAACATGCGTAATCTTAACCTGTTTCTCCACTCTAGGCCACTTCATTGAGAGGGTATTCCACAGTCGCCAAAATTTAAGAAATCAAAAATCTGCATCCGCTCTTAAATTTATCTCTGCATTATCCCCAGAGAAACTGAGATTAAAAAGGAGCAATCTAAAAGTTGTTAGTAAATGAGATACTCATTGGGGTATATTTACTAAAGGCAAATAGGTTGCTGCAATGGAATTTTCCCCAGAGCTTAGTGAGAGAGGTGAAGTCCTGCTGACTTCAATAATCCAGTCATGCAAAAACGTGTTTTTTTTTTTTCTCTTGTATGTGATTGGGCATTCTTTGCAAAGTGGCATTTCACCAAGCTCCAGGGAAAATCCACTTTTAAAGTTAACAGCTTATTTGCCTTTGGTAAATCAGCCCCACTGTGTTGAGTTAATATCTTCCCCAACTTACCTCAGGATTGTATTTCACCCATAGATCTGGGATTAACCTTTGTACAGTCTGATATTCAACTGGAACTTCATGCACATGCAAATCAACAGCATCTCCTAACCCAATCTTCTCAAGTTCCTGAAAGAAATTACAAATGATAAAGAAACATGCAGTGTGCTTTAACCAATGAGTAATACGTATAAAGCGGCAGAGTTTGGATGGCTGCATCATCAAAACTTAAAGCAGAACTGTGGGCAAAAACTTCTTGACATGTCCTTGTTACCGATTTCCTACCTTCACTGAATATGTCATCCATCTTTTGGTTCACTCAGTAATTGCTCAGAAATAGCCTATTCATTTTCAAATCAAACAATTAATTCTCTTTGGTTTCCTGTTTATAAGAGCAGTTGCTGCTATGCCTCCTATTCCCCTAGCCCAGTGGTTCTCAACCTTCCTAATGCCGTGACCCTTTAATACAGTTCCTCATGTTGTGGTGACCCCCAACCATAAAATTATTTACCCAGTAATTATAATTCATGAGTGTCGTTTTACCTCCAATACTGCTGCTTTCAACACAGTAGCTGCTTTTAACAGAGTAGCTGCTTTCAACACAGCAGCTGCTTTCTACACAGTAGCTGCTCTTTACACATCAGAAATATGTGTTTTCTGATGGTCTTAGGGGACCCCTATGAAAGGGTCGTTCGACCCCCATGGGGGTCGCGACCCACAGGTTGAGAACCACTGCCCTAGCCACTGGTCTTGGCACATCCTCTGTATTTCTTCCTCTAGGAAGCAGTGATGTAATTCAGCCCCACTTGCAGTGGTGGGCAGACTGAAACTCTCAGACACATTCCTACAATTCCCTGTGGATGATGGGAACTGTAGTTTCCTTTTACTGCAGAGAGAGAGAGGAGAGGATATGATGTAATCCCTGCTGTTACACCTCCTTCTTTGCAGAGTAGATGCTGTTATATTTTTTAATTACAGAGATGAGGTCATGAAAATTCAGTTAGACTTTTCTCCTAAATGGTAAGGATTTTCAAAATTGTATTAACAGTTCAGTGTTTTGTATAGGGGGCTGTACTAATAGGAGATTTATTTTGCCTATCCCGTATTTTTTCTTTAATGTGGAACTAAACCCATTAATTCTACTGTTTCTTGAAAGAGTTACATTCAAGGCATGCCATGAATGATAACAAGACTTGCTTGTGCTCTCAGATGAACTATCAAGCCATGAAATGTCGTGTTGCAGCTGATCACATGTGCAACACCATGGCAACTGCAGAACCAATTACCTTCAGAAGTCACCTAATTAGTAAATAGAGTCCACCTGTGTGTAATTTAATCTAAGTTTAAATACAGCTGTTCTGTGAAGCCCTCAGGGGTTTGTTAGAGAACATTAGTGAACAAACAGCATCATGAAGTTCACTGCACACACCAGACAGGTCAGGGATAAAGTTGTGGAGAGGTTTAAAGCAGGGCAAGGTTATATAAAAAACATCCCAAGCTTTGAACATCTCACAGAGCACTGTTCAATCCATCATCCGAAAATGGAAAGCGTATGGCACAACTGCAAACCTACCAAGACATGGCCATCCATCTAAACTGACAGGTCAGGCAAGGAGTCCATTAATCATAGAAGCAGCCAAGAGACCCATGGTAACTCTGGAGGAGCAGCAGAGATCCACTGCTCAGGTGGGAGAATCTGTCCATAGGACAACTATTAGTCATGCACTCCACAAATCTGGCCTTTATGGAACAGTGACAAGAAAAAAGCCATTGTTAAAAGAAAGTCATAAGAAGTCCCATTTGCAGTTTGAGAGAAGCCATGTGGGGGACACAGCAAACATGTGGAAGAAGGTGCTCTGGTCAGATGAAACCAAAATTGAACTTTTTCGCGTAAAATTACCACTGCACATCACCCTGAACACACCATCCCCATCAAACGCGGTGGTGGCAGCATCATGTTGTGGGGATGCTTTTCTTCAGCAGTGACAGGGAAGCTGGTCAGTGGTGATGAGAAGATGGATGAAGCCAAATACAAGGCAATCTTAGAAGAAAAACTTTTAAGAGTTTGCAAAAGACTTGTGACTGGGGCGGAGGTTCACCTTTCAGCAGGACAATGATCCTAAACATACTGCCAGAGCTACAATGGAATGGTTTAGATCAAAGCATATTCATATATTAGAATGGCCCAGTCAAAGTTCAAACCTAAATCCAATTAAGAATCTGTGGAAAGACTTGAAAATTGCTGTTCACATATGCTATCCATCCAATCTGACAAGAGCTTGAGCTATTTTGAGAAGAATGGACAAAAATTTTACTCTCTAGATGTGCAAAGCTGGTATAGACATCCCCAAAAAGACTTGCAGCTGTAATTGCAGCGAAAGGTGGTTCTACAAAGTACTGACTCAGGGGGGCTGAATACAAATGCATGCCACACATTTCACATATTTGTAAAAAATTGTGAATATCATTTTCCTTTCACTTCACAATGATGTGCCACTTTGTGTTAGTCTGTCACATTGGTCTCCAAAATGCGGCCCTTTGGTAGACTTTATGATGCACTATTCCTCCCACTGACACCAACAGTGAGGCATAATTCCTACTGCTGACTAATGATGGGGCAATTCCTCCTCCTTCCCCTAATATAAATGATGGGGCATCATTGCTTCCACTGACACCAACAATGGGGCACTATTCCTCCCATTGACACCAACAATGGGGCCCAATAATGCCAATGATTGCTGCCACTAATACCAATGATGGGGCACTATTTCTCCCACTAATTCAAATGATGGGACACCATTTCTCCCACTAAAGCCAATGATGTGGCACTATTTCTCCCACTAATACCAATAATGGGGCACTACTCCTCCTGCTGATACAAACAATGGGCACTATTCCTACCACTGACACAAACAATTAAGCACAGTTTCTTCCACTGATAACAACGGGGCACTGTTTCTTCCACTAATACCAATGATGAGGCACTATTTCTCCCACTGACACAAACAATGGGGCATTGTTTCTTCCACTGATGCCAAGAATGGGGCACCGTTTCTTCCACTGATACCAATGATGGGGTACTATTCCTCCCACTAATACCAATGATAAAGCACTACTCCCACTTCTTCTTATCACCAAGCCTGAAGCCAGGTTTATTCTCACTGATGCTGGGTTTGAGACATTTTCAACCCTCACTGGCCACAATCCGGCCCTCCCTAAATTCTGAAAGACAGTAAACTGGCCCTTAGTTTGAAAAGTTTGAGACCCCTGGTCCATCACATAAAATCCCAATAAAGTACATTTACGTTTTTGGTTGCAACATGACAAAATGTGGAAACTTTCAAGGGGTATTAATACGTTTTTAAGGCACTCTACCATGGCTAGTTCTGCACCATGTTTCTGTGTTGAGGTAGCCATTCTGGTAGGGGCAGGGATTTGCATCCTAAGAGTCCACATAGCCTCCAGGAAGAACAACAGTTATTAGCACAGTAGTGACATCACCAAATCTCATGAGACTAGCAGTCCGAGGCACAGTGACCCCTTTGAGACGGGGAGGACTTGTCAGCGGATCTGCCTCCTCAGCAGGGGATCTCTCCAAAAGATACCTGCTGAGCAAGCAGATGACAGGTCTGTGTTTGCTCCGCTGCTGCAGAGCTGACACAGACACTATCTGCTGCCTTCCATGGTACGGTTGGATGGAAACGGACCACCTGTCCGTTTTCATCCTACTGCCATCCTATCCACCAGACGGATGGGGAACAGATCTCCATCCGTCTGTTTTTGGTGTGCAGAATCAGATCGGATGCCAGCGGGTGTCCGCTGACACCCACCGGTCCACAGAGGTGTATAGATGGTCCGATCGGGTCCGCCTGAAAAACTGACAGGCAGACCTGATCAGACAGTCAGTGTGAAAGGGGCCATAATCGCATACTGTTGATATTCAGCTAAAAGGCTGTAGGATACATACTAGGAAGCACTCTGCTATTTTTCAGAAATAATTTTTCAACCAAAAAAAAAAAAAAAAAAGCTAAAGTCTTCAAGGTATTGCTTAGACACAAGTCACATTTCTGAATGTTCTATATGACATAGCAAACTTTTAATTTTTCAGGTTGCTAGTCACTCCGAGATCTGTTCTCAGCACTCCGCTCACAAGGTATCTGAGTTGAAACACAATTGTGGGAATAGGAGCCACTGCGTGAGATACTACTACAGAAAGGCTACATAGACCCTATGGTTCAAATGTGTGTTACAGTGCAACTGAACAAGGTGAGGGCTTCACTGCTACTTTTCAAGTAACAGTGAACAAGTCAATTCTTGACTGGGCCAAGTGCTGCCCATCCCTCTGTCAGTTTAAGTCCCCATTCACACCTTAGCAATGCTGTGTCGTCTTTTTTTTTGCATACTTTTGTGGTGAGCTTTTGGAGCGGCACCATCCATTTTGAATAGGCCTCCCTCCACTCCAAACACGTGCCAAAGAAGCTCAAGTACCAAATTTTGGCACTAAGCTAGGTTGGTGTTGCACGTTTTGCCGCAATTTTTGTTGTGTGACAATTGCAAATAATGGCAGAGCAAGTGAGTCACACATTTTGATGAAATTCTGGAATCGCAGGCAAAATATCTCAAATCTGTCCACGATTCCAAAACACTCACGTCTGAATGAAGCTTAAGGCTGCCGTCTCACTGAATACGAATTTGAAATTGTGCGACTTCAATTGAAGTCAATGATTTCAAAGTCGGATGTCAGTGCGACTTAGAAGACATTTGTGCGACTTCATGCACAGCTAACTATGCAAGTCGCACCTGAATTTGCAAAAAGTAGTGCATGAACTGCTTTCAAAATCAGTGTGACTCCTATGGAGTTGGAGTTGCACCGATTTGACTGCTTCCATTGCGTACAATAGGACGTGGCTTGTCATGCGATTTGAGACAATCAAATTGCATGATAAGTCGCACTGGCGTGACCGGGGACTTAATGCTGCTATACATGGGATTCAAAGAGGAAGAAGATAAAGTGGTTTTAAATTCAAAACATTTTACCCTAATGCATTCCTTGCAATAAGGTAAAGAACTCCTCACCGTCTGTCCTACCCACCCTGATCCCTAAACACTTAAATGACTCCTCTCACTGGAGTTGACAGTGCAGGTGCGGGACTACCAAAAGAGAGATAGGGAGCAGCTCTGTGCAATATCACTGCACAGAGCAAGTAGTTATAACATCT